AGGGCAGAGGCCCAGAGCTGGCCCCGGGAAGCCGACGCTCGCGCCAGCTTGTAGGCAGGGTGAGCACGGATGCGGGGTGAGCACAGGGCTTGCTTGGCCGCCAGCGAGCCTTCGCCACCATCCCGGAGGACCAGAAGGGGCCTGACTCAGGATGGAAGAAGCGGGGGAAGGAGGAAACCTTGCCAGCACGAGACCTCCCGGCACGAGCCCACCGCTGCCTCAACTCCCACGCCCCAGTACCTGCAGGCCGCCTCCTGCACCCTCTTGTTGCTGTCCAGGATGCGTTTGAGCAGCTCCGTCATCAGCGGCTTTAGGTGCATGTCGGGGGGCTGGCTCACCACCCAGTGGGCGTAGCGGCTGAGGGTCCAGCAGGCGATGGAGCGCACCAGGGCCTTCTTGTCCGAGAGGCACTGGATCAAGTGCGGGATGAGCTCCGGGAGGTAGGGCACCATGCCCTGCATGCAGCCTGAGAAGAGGGGAACGCTCAGAGCCCAGAAGATGGGGCAGGACAGCCCCCTCCTGGACAGCTCAGCCTAGGCATGGCTCCCTTGGGCAAGGCTCCTTAGTCCCAAAATCCCAGAGGCAGGGGGCAGGCTAGACCAGTGCCAGCGGACCCGGGCTCAGAAAACAGCGCACCAGGGCTCGGTTACAAGCAGCAGTGATCTCTGGAACTCACTGCCACTGGATGCCTCTGAAGCCAAGAACCTAGCAAGGCTCCAGGGCGGGTTGGGTGTTTACTCGGATGACAAGGGGAGCCAGTGTCAGAGCAGGCAAGTGCTACCAAAGCACTAGAAGGACAAAGCCTCACACTTCACAGTTTAAACCAGGGGTGGGGAAACTAAGGCCTGGGGGCCACATGCGGCCCCAGGGATCCCCCTTCCCCCCCAGCATTGGGGAGCCCATGCTGGTGCTCCAGCGACCTTCCCCCACCCTCCGCGGCCACCCCACTGCAGGGCCGGAGCACACAACATCCATTAGCCTGGGCCCCCTTAGGCTCTGTGTGAAAGGAACGTGGGGGCGTCTCTCTCCTCCAGAGTTGGGGGCCACCTCAGTGAGGGTTCATTTGGGTTTGTTCCTTCTCACTTGTGAGCGGCCCCCCAG